GAAGGAGCTGCATTATCGTTTAAATATTTCCAATCGGAAAAAAATATTTTTAAATTTTTAGTTCACTTCATTAACAGCTAATTAAAAGTTTGTTTTTAAAAATAAATCTTTATTTTATTTATTTTTTACTTTTGAGTAGGTATTTAATATTTATGATGCTAAATGACTAGTTTGGTAATTTCTATATAATTTTCATATAAATATTTCATTATTGAGATTCCATAAAACGTCTTACTTTATTTGTATTATAATATGAATCGTACAACGATAAATTTCTATTTTGCGGCGAACACTATATTGTTTTCAGAATGACGTTATTTGCTTATTGTGCTTCTCTCATTAAGCATTTTCATTTGATACCCATATCATAACGGTGACCATGGAAATAAAAAATCGCCATTTAACGGCGCCCGCCATATTGGACTTGACGTCACTTTACTTATTTTTCCCTCATTAAGCCCTTTCGTTTGACATTCATAATGTAGCGTTGATTATGGAAACACTCATGTTTGGTCAGTAGAAAATCCGCACGCTGTCCGTCGGGCACATTTTCAACAAACATTTTCGGTGAATGTTTGGGCTGGCATGGTGAACGGTATGCTCATTGGACCATTTATTCTCCCAAATCGATTGGACGGGATGCAATATCTAGAGTTTTTACGCAACATTTTGCCTTCCGTGTTTGTCTGCGTCTGCTCGGTAGCGCATCAGCTGATTTCATTTTCTGTTGGAGCGGTATGATTTTGGGCAGAGATGTACTTAGCCCTTCTCGTCAACTGGAGAGTGAGTACTTTTTCCTTTATTTTTTTACTTGGTCGCGCTCGTTTCACTACACATTACCTTTGTTATTTCAAGGGTAGTTGTTTCTGAAAAGGAAAACCCCAACTTTGCGGACACCCTGTATTTAAACGATAATTTCTTGTTTTCAAATAAATCGTATTATTGCAGTGGAAAAGGGTATTTGAAAACTTGAGATGAAGGAGCTGCATTATCGTTTAAATATTTCCAATCGGAAAAAAATATTTGAGGTATAGAATGTTCCTATCGTACTCGTCTGTTTCCATTCATACCATTTCCCACCCCGATGTTCCGCCCCAAAGCGCAACATCATGAGATTGGGATTATCGCATTTTTATCTGACGGTTCACGTAACGAAGGAAGCCATAGTCAATCCCGGTTGGTCGGCTGATGTCTGTCAAGGTCAAGGTGGTGGAAAAGCTGTGCAGTTTCTAGGACAAATATGTAAACTTTATACATTGCACCAAGGGTATAGGTGAAGAGTACGGATAGTACAAGTGATATCTTCCACTTGAATGCAAGATTAGAATTGAAACAGTTTCATGTTGTAAATAAAGATCAGAGTGAAATATATATGGTTAAAAAGCTAAAACGAATCATGAGTACAATGCAATTCACGACGACTCATGGAGAGATAGGGAACTAGGATATGTAATCCAAATTCGAAATGAGGCAAAAGTCATCAGACTTCTGCTTACAGATTTTTTTTATACGTAAGAAACATTTATTACCAGCAAGGTCTAGGCAAATATTGGAAAAGTCACATTTAGACGATTGAGTATTTGCATTTCACAGTAGGCTGTAACAATTGTTATACAGGGTTTCAAAATGTATAAAACTTGAAAATATTTTGAAATTTGCATGATTTTCACAATTTTTAAAACTACCAAAATTTGTTTGCCAAAATCCTCCCTTGACGTTTTCTTAAGAAACAAGTAGTGTTTTTCCAAAATTTTTGAATTGTCAAAGCTCGCGGAATTTCGAAAATTCTGATTATTTTCATGGTTATTAAAACTTTCAAAATTGTCAAAATTATCAGTTTTCCAGATTTTTGAAATATTTGAAATTTACAAAATTATCCTGCGACCCCTATCCTCCTCCTCGTATTTCACCACTTTCCTAAAAAGTTACATTCAGGTTTTCAAAATGTGTAAAACTTCAAAAGTTTATGAAATTTGCGAGATTCTCGTAATTTTTGAAACTACCAAAACAATAAAAAATGTTTGGATTGGCATAGCTCAATATTACGAAAATTCTCAATATTGTCAAATTTTATAAGTTGTCAAAAATATCGGTTTTCAAAACTTTTAAGTGTTTTTAAATTTACAATATGTATTTTCAAACGTTCGAAATCTTAAGAACAATGAATTCTCGATATTTCCAAATTAAAAAAATTCGAAACATAAAAATCCTGCTTTTGGTAGGTTTCAAAATTTTGAAAATATCAAAAATCGTGCAAATTTCGAAAATTTTGAATATTTCCCGAATATAAAAAACCTGTGATGACATCAGTTTTATTGCCTACTGTAGACCTAAATCCTGCCTTGACGTTTCCTTAAGAAACTAGTGTTGTTTTTCTAAAAGTTTTGAATGGGCAAAGCTCGCAAAATTTCAAAATTCTGATTATTTTCATGATTATTAAAACTTTCAAAATTATAAGTTTTCCAGATTTTTGAAATATATTAAATTTACAAAATTATCCTGCGACCCCTATCCTCCTCCTCGTATTTCACCCCTTTCCTAAAAAGTACATGGTTTTCAAAATGTGTAAAACTTCGAAATTTTTTGAAAATTGCGAGATTCTCGCATTTTTTAAAACTACTAAAACATTAAAAATGTTTGCATTGCCAAAAGTGTTTTTAAATTTATAATATATATTTTCAAAAGTTCGAAATTTTAAGAACCATTTAATTTCTCGATATTTCCAAATTAAAAGATTTCGAAACATAAAAATTCTGCTTTTGGTAGGTTTCAAAATTTTGAAAATATCAAAAATCGTGCAAATTTCGAAAGTTTTGAATATTTCACGAATATAAAAAACCTGCGTACCAAAACATTAAAAATGTTTGCATTGTCAAAGCTCAATATTACGACAATTTTTAATATTGTCAAATTTTCAAAATTGTCAAAAATATCGGTTTGAAAAATTTTTAAGAGTTTTTAAATTTACAATATGTATTTTCAAACGTTCGAAATCTTAAGAACCATGAATTCTCGAGATTTCCAAATTAAAAGATTTCGAAACATAAAAATCCTGCTTTTGGTAGGTTTCAAAATTTTGAAAATATCAAAAATCATGCAAATTTCGAAAGTTTTGAATATTTCACGAATACAAAAAACCTGCGTACCAAAACATTAAAAATGTTTGCATTGTCAAAGCTCAATATTACGAAAATTCTTAATATTGTCAAATTTTCAAAATTGTCAAAAATATCGGTTTTCAAAATTTTTAAATGTTTTTAAATTTACAATATTTTCATACTTTTGAAATCTCGATATTTCCAAATTTAAAAATTTCGAAACTTAAAAAATCCTGCTTTTGGTAGGTTTCAAAATTTTGAAAATATCAAAAATCGTGCAAATTTCGAAAATTTTGAATATTTCCCGAGTTTTAAAAACCTGTGATGACATCTGTTATAGCCTACTGTTGAATTAAATCCTCCTTTGGCGTTTTTGAATTGTCAAAGCTCGCGAAATTGCGAAAATTCTGATTATTTTCATCATTATTAAAACTTTCAAAATAGTCAAAATGATCAGTTTTCCAGATTTTTGAAATATTTGAAATTTACAAAATTATCCTACGACCCCTATCCTCCTCCTCGTATTTCACCCCTTTCCTAAAAAGTACATACCTTGAATGTATACAGAAGCATTATGTTTTTCTTTTGTTTATATATAAGCCAAAGGTATCATACGTAAGATAATCTATAAAAAATAAACCTTTCAAATTGACTATTAAAATAGTTACTGCCCTATGTAGTCTGTGGTTGTTAGCAGCTATACTATATCTCAGTATTCAGCCGTTCGCTAAATGCCAGGACACGCATTTTTAGCTTACGCGCCTACAATGTTAAGTGAACGATTGGTAAATGCATAAAATTCAAGGAACTGCCCGCACTCAGGGCCACCGCACTGCTGTTAGTTGTAGCCAGAGGGTATAACGGTACCCGTACCCGCACAGTATTTTCATTTATAATATGTGCAGCACCGGAAAATCTGCATGATCCGTTAAAATGGGGTATGGCAATTTTCTGTCAGGGCATGGATATATTTGTATTTTTATATTGGAAAAAGGGCATTTGGCTAAGGTCTTTGGTCCTATAGAATATAATCTTTCAGTATATTGTGGTTGCCTTAGAACTTTGTCAGCACGTTAGTACATAGTAGTAGTGAACGAAAAACCTCGCGAAACTCCATTTCAAATTCTAGTTTTACCATAACTTCATAGTATTGAATATATGGGAAAAAGTTATATTTCTTCTTCATTGATGATTAATAAAAAAGTTATTCATAAAATTATTCGCGTTACTAGAATAAGAACATTTTCATTCACCCTGAAGAATATATTTTCTAATTGAATGTCAATATTTAGGGGGCGATTTTTGATACAGGGTGGTGAAGTTTGAAAAATTCAAAATTTATTTTCAAGATCTCTAATACCACTTTAGATATTTTTTTTAATCAGATTTGATATACATGTACAATGTATCGAAATGTCTAATTTCTACTAGTGACGTTCGTAGAGAGTTGCAAGTGCCTATTTTGACAGTCATTGATGGATTGATTTCTCTTAAAATGAAAATATTCTTAAAATCCCCAGTTATTTCTAAGCAAATCTGATCGCTTGCTTTTTTTCAATCCGCTGCACAGTTTTCGATTGAAAAAAATAATGCTTTTGTGCATAAACGACAATATCGTAAATATGACAATATCACCATTCAGAGAAATAGATTTTTTTTTAATAGGTAAGAACCGTGTGTCAGACTAAAGAAATTCAAGCGAATTAATCTGCTCGTAATCGAATATATATTTAATTTTTTTATTTTTAGAACAGTGAGCGACGTATCAAATAATTTAGTTTCGAAAACTTTACTGTATCTCAAAAAAATACGTTGAAACGGACCCAAAGATCCGCCCCCTAAAAATTGACATTCAATTAAGGAAACACCCTGTATATGTACTGATGTACAGACTTAACTCACTTTTTGTTCTCATCGATGGACTTTACTGACTTGGCATCTTCACCTCCATCTTCTTTAATATCTCCTTCATCTCTAAAATTATGAAAATATATTTTAGTTTGGTATCAAGACTGCAGTAAATGAAATATGCATAATCTGGCATTGTCGCCGTCGTCGTTGCTGGATTCGGATTGGACCCTCCGCAAGTAAAAAATATCGCAGACATAAATTTACGCGAAATATGTGGTCTGTCGTGACCAACAGGTGGGAATACTACCGGGATCACTTTATATTTAATAAAACACGTTTCGCTAATACCAAAGACGCAACACCCAATCCCCAATTTTCATACCTATTTTTTCCTAAAAATAATGAGTTGCCTCTGAAACTTCAAACAAAAAGTTTGACGGATTTTTATCTTTTTCGTTTTTTTTTGTCCCTAGTACTACCGCCGCCACTGAACCGAATTTTGAAAAGATAAAATTTTTCTTGGGATATTAGTGACTCTATCCGAAAATTTCATCAAAATCCGACCGGCATCTGAAAGCGGGGTCAAGGATTAGCGGGATGTACAAGATACATTGCAAAAGTTTCAATCGAGAATTGTGCTAAATGACATTTTCAATTGGTTGTTTTGCTAGTAGCTAGAATCCTATGTATGTTACTCTGTCACTCAGCTTACCACTCTCCGTGTGATCTTAGCTTAAGGTCTGTAAATCTGTTTTTTTTTTTTATGGTTGTATCAGCCAACTGAGCGGACTTACTATGACACGGGACACTTAAGAAATAGAAGTAATTATTTTTGCTCCGAGTATAATTTTTCGTGCAAAAAATAGCGAACCGTTATGCCTTCCGTTAGGTTATTTTTAACAGGAAAAAAGAGCTTTTATGATCAATTACGTGAACCGTGGTAATTTGGGAATGCTGACTACTGACTGTCATGGCACTATATTATTTTTTCGATTTTGACGAATGTAACCCCAAGATTTCAAAACCTTCTTAACCGATTTCATAGAAAAGTTTCAGTAATACAGTAATGGACAAAAGTATACTAAGTGACATATAAATCCGAACACCCAGTTTAAATGGTTTTATTTTAATAAAAGTTGGTGAATGTATTTATCTTACTGTAAATAACAAGTGAAAACATTTTCAGCCTTATCAGTTGGACATTCCGGTTTTTATACTGCTTTTTTTTAATTCACTAACGCTCTAAAAATGAATATTTCAGCAGCAGTAAAGAATCAACGTTGGCGGATTTTGGTTCTTGACATCCTTTACGATCGGTTACGATGCCTAGAGTACGGAGACCTGTACGCTTTCGCCAACTTAGTGAGTTTGATAGGGGCCGTATAGTGGGACTTCGGGAAGCTGGACTTTCTTTTCGGGCAATTGCAGTTAGAGTGCAAAGAAGTGTAGACACTGTGGTTAGGTGTTGTCAGGCATGGCTTCGAGAAGGCCGTACGCAAAGAGCAAGGGGCACTGGACGCCGCCGGAGAACAACAGACCGTGAAGATCGCCGCCTAAGATTATTGGACTTAAGGGACCGTTTCTCCACTACCAGGTCCATTGCAAATGAATAGTTTGCAGAACACGGAAGACCTATTGGCATGCGAAGTATTTACCGACGAATGAGAAGTTTTGGCTTGTTTTCATACCGGCCACACTGGTCCTCCCTTTAACTCGAGAACACCGACGTAATCGCCTTGAGTGGTGCAGACAACGGTCACTCTGGTATCAGGAATGGAACAGTATTGTCTTTAGTGACGAGTCTCGATTTTGTTTAGGCATGCACGATGGTCGTGCCAGGGTTAGAAGGCGACGTGGTGAAAGGAGGAATCCACAGTTTTTTGTTGAAAGACATGTTCATCACACTGTTGGAGTTATGGTTTGGGGTGCTATAGCTTATGGTTCCAGGTCACCTTTAATCTTCATGAGAGGTAACATGAACGCGCAGCGTTAATGAAGCATAATAAGTAAATGATAAAAATTTCAAAATGATTGCACTGTTTTAAAGCCCTTTGACCTTTAATAATGTGTGGATGCACCCTGATGTGCTACGCATTCTCCAACGCGCCTAGGCATGCTTCTGATCAGGTGGTCAATGTCCTCCTGTGGTATCTCATTCCAGGCAACCACCAACAATGTGACATCATTATGTTGAAAGAAGTCTATTGTGACTCTTGCAACATGTGGTCGGGCATTATCTTGTTGCAAAGTTGGATCTGCCAGGGTAAAAGATGGGGTTCTAGAACTTCGTGGATATAAGTACTTATACAAAATTTTATTAAAATAAAACCATTTAAACTGGGTGTTCGGATTTATATGTCACTTAGTATATTTTTGACTTTCATAGTTCCAGTTTTTTCAATTAATTTTTTATTGAAGAGAGTCTAATGAATTTATTTATGTATAAGTGAGTATTATGCGAATTATGTATACCGGTTTTTTGCATTAATAAAACAAGTTAAACAAGAAATACAGCACAATATTAATTTGTCAATATACTTTTGTCCATTACTGTATTTGAATCCAAACCGGACCAGAAATGCACAGACTTAGAATCATATATCCTCTCTGCATAACAAAAATCAGGAGAAATCAATTTATTTAGAACAATGCCTATTTCTTGCATTTATTTTTATCTGCGATCTAAGATTCATATTTAATAATTTTCTGGAAGTTATTTTAATCCGGCTTATCCAGCTTTATCAATTTCGACAACAGCGCTGAATAAGGAAAAACATTTACCAAATACGAGGTCTGTAAAATTAAGTAAAGAGACTGGCAACGTAGCGCTCGATCTGAAAACACTGGACGCGCCGGACTTGGGGGGGAGACAGGAGAACATGAGTGTGATCCGTCTTCAGTACAAGTTGGAACTCGCTCGAATCATTTTATTGTCCGTATCGAACTGTGTGCTATGAGGTTTTGCTTCAGACTTGGGCATAATGCAACGGAAATTCTTGCTAAATTTCAACAGGATTACAGAGATAGTGTTTTAACAAGAACCCAGGTTTTTCGGTGGTTTAAGGCACTTTCAGAAAGGAGATTGAAGATGAAGATGAACCACGAAGCGGATCTTCAAGAACCGATGAAAATATCGACAGAGTTCAGATTCAGATCTTGTCCATTTAGATCGTTGGTTGACAGTCGGAATGATTGAGGAAGAGTTAAATTTGCCACACAGCAATATCAATAAACGAGTTTTTGGCCAGTAAAAACATTCCTGTGTCTCCTCAGCCTCCTTATTCGTCTGACTTGAGCTCTTGTAACTTTTTTCTCTTCTCGAAGTGAAAGAATCACCCCAAGGGGACAGTCGAAAACACTTAAACGGCTGTAACAGATCAGATGAAGGCTATTACAGTATCGGAGTTCCAGCACTGCTATGTGACTCCAGAAGAAAGTTATTTTGAGGGTGGCAATATGAAATTGTGATCATACTTGAATTAAAAAAAAAATATTTTCATCACTTAATTTACAGGCCTCGTAGGTTCTTCCTATTCTCGATAGCTAAGGTCACCACTAAAAACTCTCTACCATCTCAAATATGAAGCACTTAACGAAGAAGTTAAATGACGAAGTCCCGGATCATTCTGTGTATGACAAAATTGATTTCGCCGGCATTTGAAATTGGTGCAAATATACCCTATACCACCGCCGTACAAAGGGGCACTTCTCACGTAACTCTGACGCAATACGTACGCGTGGCAACAGGTGTCACTCTTCCAGCTAGCAACAGCATATATACCCAATTTACGGATGCCCGAAAAGTGCGTCAGGGGAACACATCGGAAGTTTCTTAGCCAATTAAACCGTCTTAAGGCACAAACACTAGCAGCTATTACATCGAGTAATTGAGTTTGCTAACTTTAGATTTCTAAGATTTCGATATACATCCAGACATCTTTTGATCTGAAAGCGTAAACCCGTTATATTGTTCCAACTTGGCGGGGAGTTTTTTTAGTTTGAAGACTCGTGCGGTTTGTTGAAGTGTTGTATTTTTTCTGATTTCTGAAGTGTTATCGATTGTTTTACTTCTTCACGTCTTCAAAGTGGAGAAAATATCTTCTACGACGTGATTTTTTCGGAGAGAAATTTTTAACGTGACTAACGTTTAACATGAACATGATAGTATGGTATAGCTTTGGGATCCTCTATCCGTGGTATGGCAATGCATAAAGGTTTCCTTTAAGAAATCATCCGGCCGCACGGATGTTTGTGAATTTAGTTATTAGATTTCCTTAAATCTAACAACCTGACATGTTACAAATTAATCTGGCAATTTATTCATGAATTTAGTGTTGTGAGGAAATTCACAATTTTTTTGTTTACACGCTCCAGCTTATTCAAGGTTAAAAAATTGTGCAAATCTCGTCACGGTACCTCATTCCATCTCGAACAATTTTTCTTACGCGAGAATATAGTAATAGCTTGGCTATCTATGTAGAATATGTTAATGTAATTCCTGTGTACCTCGGCAAGAAAGGACATTGGACATTATTTTCTATGGCAATGTGAAAACTACTTACTGGAAATATGTTTTCCTCTTTCTGTTAACACTGACGAGCGAACTATCCACACTTTGTACTTCCATGGCTGTACCAACGTCCTGAGTCGTAATGTAAGGCAGACTAGATGAGCAAGGGTCACTGAAACAGTAAATATGGATAATTTCAAGCTCAAATTAGAATTCTCAAATGAGCAGTAAAAATTGAACACAGCAGCTGGAGATAGCATTATATATGATTAGACAAAAAGGTCAAGTATATTTTTCTTGTCAAGAGTTAATCTCCACATGAAATCTTTTCATTTGAGGATAAATTAACATGAGGCTTATGAAACTGAAAGACAATATTACGGGAAATTTTTGAAGTAGAGATACCCTCCATCGTGACATTTTCAGATCTATCTAAATTAACCTCAAGCTTCAGCATATACGAGTACATACTAAGTGACATATAAATCCGAACACCCAGTTTAAATGGTTTTATTTTAATAAAAGTTGGTGAATGTATTTATCTTACTGTAAATAACAAGTGAAAAAATTTTCAGCCTTATCAGTTGGACATTCCGGTTTTTATACTGCTTTTTTTAATTCACTAGCGCTCTAAAAATGAATATTTCAGCCGCAGTAAAGAATCAACGTTGGCGGATTTTGGGTCTTGACATCCTTTACGATCGGTTACGATGCCTAGAGTACGGAGACCTGTACGATTTCGTCAACTTAGTGAGTTTGATAGGGGCCGTATAGTGGGACTTCGGGAAGCTGGACTTTCTTTTCGGGCAATTGCAGTTAGAGTGCAAAGAAGTGTAGACACTGTGGTTAGGTGTTGTCAGGCATGGCTTCGAGAAGGCCGTACGCAAAGAGCAAGGGGCACTGGACGCCGCCGTAGAACAACAGATTGGCATGCGAAGTGTTTACCGACGAATGAGAAGTTTTGGCTTGTTTTCATACCGGCCACACTGGGTCCTCCCTTTAACTCGAGAACACCGACGTAATCGCCTTGAGTTGTGCAGACAACGGTCACTCTGGGATCAGGAATGGAACAGTATTGTCTTTAGTGACGAGTCTCGATTTTGTTTAGGCATGCACGATGGTCGTGCCAGGGTTAGAAGGCGACGTGGTGAAATGAGGAATCCACAGTTTTTTGTTGAAAGACATGTTCATCACACTGTTGGAGTTATGATTTGGGGTGCTATAGCTTATGGTTCCAGGTGACCTTTAATCTTCATCAGAGGTAACATGAACGCGCAGCGTTATATCCACGAAGTTCTAGAACCCCATCTTTTACCCTATCTTGACACCCTGGCAGATCCAACTTTCCAACAAGATAATGCCCGACCACATGTTGCAAGAGTCACAATAGACTTCTTTCAACATAATGATGTCACATTGTTACCATGGCCACCAAGATCTCCCGACTTATCCCCAATTGAGCACGTTTGGGATATGATGGGTAGGAGATTGCTCAATTTGCAACGTCCTCCTCAGACTCTAGAAGCACTTCGAGAGGAGTTGGTGGTTGCCTGGAATGAGATACCACAGGAGGACATTGACCACCTGATCAGAGGCATGCCTAGGCGCGTTGGAGAATGCGTAGCACATCAGGGTGCATCCACACATTATTAAAGGTCAAAGGGCTTTAAAGCAGTGCAATCATTTTGAAATCTTTATCATTTACTTATTATGCTTCATTAAGTACTTATACAAAATTTTATTAAAATAAAACCATTTAAACTGGGTGTTCGGATTTATATGTCACTTAGTATAGTTCGAAAAAATTTATAAATCAATCATCTACAATTATTATTCTTTAAACCTTTCCCAGAAGATGAATGACAGCTGATATTGTCTATAGTGGACAAAAATATAAAAATCACCTGGAGAAAATCAGGTGCCAGTTGTTGTTACTTGACAAAACATTCTATTGATTACAATAACTTTGGCGGATCTCATAATCTATTCTCTCGGGAAGTTTTCCATGTAGATTAAGATTTTCTCTGTTTGGTATATTGAGAATCACCCAACAGAAGTAATGCCTCAGTGTATTCCTTGTAACCCCACCGAGGGTTCTTCAGGTCGGTATCAACGACTATTGAAAATGGTGATGAACCGAACCATTGGAGTTTCCCTTGCATTAACCATAGCGTTCCCAGACTGAATTCTCGCATTGATAAGGCAGATGACTCGTAAAGCAAAAGCTTAAATATCTGAGGATCTCTAGGTATACGTAATTATGATGGTTTAGCAATCTCTAGCAAACAATTAGAAATATGCAAAGTGGTCATGAACTCAAAACTCGGGCATTTATTCGCCACCCCTTGTTACGTGCCGGAAACTAGGAATAGTAATCACCTGTCTTTTCCTCTCTGTTTTTCTTTGACGTTGTCTGATTTCTGGGCAACCAGGACTGACAGATTCGACTAACTATGGGCAAAAGTCCTTGGGAACGCCCAGGCAAACAAATGACAAATGGTCGCGATGTGATCGTCACAATTGTCACTACATGTTCACTTGTAGTAGCTATGTGTGTTGCCTAAGCGTCAAGATACTCGAGCTACGTGATGTGTCTCGGTTGCGCTGTGATATCCGATTCAGAGATGGAACTAAAGAGTGCGAAAAATTAACGCAAGTTTTGAAATAAATAGAAAACACAGTTTTAAGTCTTTAGATTGTTATTTTTTATTGAATCATAACATACTTAGGATAGGGTTATGTCTGGAATATCACATCTGGCAAATGGCCTTCATGGCACTCTTTTATCGCAATTTTTCATGCTCTATCTGCATAATGGTGGCTGAATTTTGTTGATGCGCCGTTTAATTTCCTCTGGTAAGGCACCGGTGCTTGTGGGCATGCTGACATAGACCTTTGACTTTAAATGACCTCATAAGAAGAAATCTAATGTTGTTAAATCACTTGATCTAGGGGACCAATTCTGGTTACCGAAACGGAAAAGAGCTATTCTACCGAACTACCGATTTCACTGCGAAAAAAAACTCATAAATAGTATACGTAGTCGTGCCATAAGTTCTGTCCCATGATAATCTCATGATAAAAATGAAACAAGATAAGATATATTTATATGAAAGATATTATTTATTCGACAACATTTTTAGAATTCATAATCAAACAGTTTTATTCAAAATGTCCCCCCTTGGCCTTCACACACTGCTTCAATCTCGCGGGCCACTCATCTATCACTGCACGCACAGCTTCCAAAGGAATAGCTGCCGCTGATCGGATCAAATCCGCTTTCAGGGACTCGATATTACGGTGGGCTTTGGAGCAGGCCAACTGCTCTAGCAGGTCCCACAACTTGTAGTCTAAAGGATTGAGGTCCGGACTCCCTGAGGGCCAATCTTCCGCAGCAATGAACTCTGGCACATTGCTTTCCAGCCAGCGCTGCGTACTCTTAGCCTTGTGAGCGGGGGCGGAATCCTGCTGGTAGGCCCAGTGTTGGTTGGCAAACAATGTACCACTTAAAGGCTTGACGATAGGATCCAGTATGTCGCTCTGATAGTTTGCCGCTTTTGTTTTCACGCCCTGTTTACAGAAATGGAGCTGAGTGACCCCTTCGTAGGACACCCCCCACCAAACCATGACTGACGCAGGGTGGTGGCCTCTCTCAACTCTCGGAATGATCTCCGAAGCTTCCTGTGAACTCCTTGCATACACTTTGTCATTTTGTCGGTTGAATTTTTCTTCTATGGTGAAGATTTTCTCATCCGTGAACAAAATCTTTCGGAATCCCCCAGCTGCGTACCTCTCCAAGAGCTTCTTGGATCTTGTCGCCCTGATGTGTCGCAAGGTGGCCGTAAGTCGCTGGCCCGTACGTCTCCGGTAAGCCCCTAGCCCTAGGTCTTGTTTAATGATGCGCGACATCGTCCGGACAGGAATCTTCATTTCCCTGGATAGGATCTTCTGCTTCCGGAGTGGATTCCTTTGAATCCTGGCTTTTACGGCTTTGATGGCTGCTGGAGTCCTTACTTGACGAGGTCTTCCGCTTCTTGGCCTGTCATCAACAGAGGACGTCTCATTGTACCGCTGAATGGTCCTAGACACAAATTTACGCGATATTTGAAGGCCGCGTAAGAGTTCAAAAATCTGACTAGCACTGTGATTACACTTATGTAAAGCTATCACTGCAATACGGTTCTCTGCCTTGCCTCACTCCATCGTTATGCTTCGAGAGATCAATACAAACTGAGGTATATGTAATTACCCGAAAAGCGCTTAATCAACTGACACCACAATGTAAACAATCGGACAAGTATTAACAGGTCTACACTTGTTTGAAAACGAGGGACAGAACTTATGGCATGACTACGTATTTCTGATATAACTCATAGAATCGCAAGAATAAAACACCTTGCCACCTCCGCTCCTCAATTAGCTTAGATTCGGTGCAACCCTTCGCTATTTAATTTTTCAAGTAGCAGAATTTCAACATTTGATGCTACACCCCCCTCCCGCTCTTCAATCTTCAAAACCTAGCGGAGCACATTCAAGATAACCCCTTCCTCAATCGTTAATCATCGGCAAGGTCTTGCCTCATGTCTACCGAAATCTACTGAAAAATTTCGCACAAATCTACTGAAAACGGATCGACTTTCCCGGCTACGCTGGTTGAGCTATTTCTCCATAGATGGCGTGCACAGCGAGTACGCGTGGCGTGGGATAGCGACTAGCTAGTACACAAGTGTCAACTATACTATCAGATCGCTTTCAGTTATTATTTTACATTATACGGGTTCTACCAGGAAGTATCCCAGAGTCGTTCGCATTTTGACAGCAACCAGGTTGCTTTGACATCATGAGAATCAGAACGATTCTATAAAAGTTCTTTTTAGAACCCGAGTAAAGCTCTGGTTTCAACCGCCTTTTTTCCAGTCGGTCAGTTGTGATATCAATTCATACTTTGTTTGAAACAATTTGTTTTGTTTTCTCAGCTCCATGATTAGCCAACGTGCCGATTGATTGATAAAATCAACAAGAAAGTCCTGCTTACGTAAGCGTAAATCTGAAAAGATCTTTGAAATCAACATGTTTACCGTTAATGATATTATTGTAACTGTACAGTTATACGATTTGAATTAATAATGAACAAGAAATGCCTGGGATATACAAATGCAATGTCTCTACCAATACCAGTGTACGTGTGTAAAAGTCAGGGTTACGAAATCGAATTGACCATTCATTAGGTTATTGATATAATATGGTAGTTTTGAGGTATGTTTCCGCTTCGTAAGAGTAAAAATCTAAAGTATCATCAGGTCGGATTTTGGGAAGAAAATGGGCCTGCTGTGAGCCTGGTCAAATCTAACGCCAATTTGACGTTAGATTATCAACTTACGCACTTGATTTACCTCGAAAGTGTGTTTATATCTAGATAATAGACGCGCAACTTTTTTTAACTTAAATTTGTGTGTGTGTTTATGTGTGATTACCAGAGCAATATAATTTATTGAATATACAGGGTGTCCGCAAAGTTGGGGTTTTCCTGTACACGACGTGTAGATCTTGAAAGCATAAGCAATTTTTCTTAGTACCATATACACCAATGTTTTAAGAGAACCGAGATAAAGGGCTCTGCAACATCAAAAATATCTGAATACCGTCCTGTAGCCGCGACCCGGGACATCACCGATTGGTACAAGGTCTCAACCCGACGACAGAACTGGCTCGGGGTCAGTATGTCAGGTCAGTATGCAACCTTCAACCGACGGTTACGGTCACGCATGTAGAGGTAATCGCGTAGACGAGAATCCCTCAACAAGCACTAGAGACGTGGCTAGAGAAGTGCAAGTATCAAAAACTAAAGTGTGGCAAACGCTGCGTGAAGAGGGGCTGTATCCGTTTCACGTCCAACGTGTACAAGCCCTTCAACCTGACGATTTTCCAGCAAGAGTGCGGTTTTGTGAGTGGTTGTTGCATCAACATGACAATAATCCGAACTTTTTGAAGTGCATATTGGTGACAGACGAATCTACGTTCACGCGTAATGGAGTGAATAACTTTCGCAACACTCATGTTTGGTCAGTAGAAAATCCGCACGCTGTCCGTCGGGCACATTTTCGGTGAATGTTTGGGCTGGCATGGGGAACGGTATGCTCATTGGACCATTTATTCTCCCAAATCGATTGGACGGGATGCAATACCTAGACTTTCTACGCAACATTTTGCCTTCCTTGTTAGAAGATGTGCCATTAAGTGTAAGACAATCAATGTGGTTTCTGCGTCTGCTCGGTAGCGCTTCAGCTGATTTCATTTTCTGTTGGAGCGGTATGATTTCGGGCAGAGACGTACTTAGCCCTTCTCGTCAACTGGAGAGTCAGTACTTTTTCCTTTATTTTTTTTTTACTTGGTCGCCCTCGTTTCACTACACACTACCTTTGTTATTTCAAGGGTAGTTGTTTCTGAAAAGGAAAACCCCAACTTTGCGGACACCCTGTATATATATATATATACAGGGTTTCTCCAAAGTTGAGTTTTAGCTGCTTGTAGGACTCGTTAAAAAGAGCTGATATACCAAAAATGACTCATATAAAAGTTGCATAATAAAAGAAATAGTGAATGATTAAAAATTAAAAAAAATCTTACCGTTTATATAAATTTGGCAAATTGTTAGTGTTATTGTATGGTTTTTATAGTTAAAATAAATGTCTCAACTTTGAAATCAGATAGGGTGACAGTATTTGGGCTGTAGTTATTCAGATGTGAGATAACGAATTGAGGTTCACCAGCCGTCTGCGAATATAACGATATTTTATGAAATTAATCTTATCTATTTTTAGTACATTTTCTTCAAGTAAATACCACTGCGTACGGAAGTTGTCCTCGATTGCTGGTTATGCCCATAATTTTTGCCAAACAATTTTTTTTAGCCGGCAAACAATAAGATACCAGAGCGTACAAAAGTTGGAGTCAATCTACTCCATGCCATTTTTCACTCTAAATAGAACTCCGCAACGCTTTAGCTTTTGCTAATGTCAAATTCGAAATTAGCGACCCAAATAACCACCATGTACGGAGTTTGTTCGCTTGAAACAGTGAGATACGACGGATTGATTGAAACCTGGCCTACATCATTATTTTTCAAGTACTTCAAAAAAACGGAAACTTGAAATAAGTCAACCGAAAGCAGTTTCTTACATTAGGTTTGTTACGGGCAGCCACTGAGGTCACGTACGTATATCTGCTCTCAGGCTGAACCCGGGCATTATTAAGCACCTAAAGGTGTATATAATAATCGGGTCACGCGATCAAAATCGTGGTCGTCTTACCGCCATATCTAAAAATGTTGTACCAGAATTGTTCAACATATCTTCGTAACTAGTCGATCGATTTTAATTTGTTTAAGCTCATTTTACTCCTTTTACTTACTATGCAACTGGCGTGAAAGTATTGTAATTGCGAAAAATTTCGAAAATGAGATATGATCTTTACACGGTATATGACATCTCGTACAAGAAAAACCACGTCACGCATATCCATCTGTCCTCGGAAATATGAGTATTTCTGGTGTAAAAACTAAAATATTTTAAGTGGTTTAACAGCTTCGAATGCTATTTAAAACAGCAGTGTAAAAATAAAGAGTAGTGGACCCAAAATGGAGCCTTGCGGCACACCTGATAAAATTTCGATATTGTTACAATGAGATCCATTGACAGAAATATTTTTTGAACGCCTCAGAAAAAAGCTTCAAACAAAAAAATATTGCGGCTACCAAATGCCCTTGAAAAGTCAAGGCAGATCAAGACAGAATAATATTATTAATTATTGGATTGAAAAAATGTGTACTCATAAAATTTAGTAGTAAGCTTAAGCTCGCCTACTGGTTTCCAAGATATCTCTAATACTCTAATAATCTAATAACCGTTTCACAACTTGGCGGAGGTTTTTTAATATGGCGTCCAAATGACCACGATTTGGATCGCGTGATCTTATTTCTTATATACTGCTATAGATGCCTGAGGGGACATATAAGGCCACACGTGACCTTAGTAGCTGATCCTAAGCTAATTTAAAATAGCTCATAGGGTGAAACGCAAACTTACTCGACCATTGCGGACAGCTCATAGTAGGTCGGCTGATACTGCTCATGGTGCATGACAGTGGCGTCCTGCCTAGAGGGGTGATGCATCACAGGGGTGGGCGTCGCAGCCCCCATCGCGGGTTTCAGCTCCTCCAAGGTGACAAAACCGCAATTGCCGTCATCTCCAACGTGGTCCGACGGCACGTGGAGGAGCCTGGTGTAGGTCACCTCCGGAGTGTGTTGGTGGTGCACGGGATGGTGAGGATGGGGGTGGTGAACCCCTGCGGCGCCCGGGAAGCTCCGTGCCACCATCGTGGATGTTGTCGCGAAGGTGGTAGCGAGGGGTTGATGTTATTTGTTGTAAGGTGAGGTGAACATCGCAGTGTTTGTTGTGTTAATTGTGGATTCTTTGGGTTGCACAGTTTGTATTTAGCTGGAGGTGTCTTCTTTGATATTTGGAAAACAGATTTTAGTTGTTCATTATTTGCCGTTTCAAAAGTTCTGGAGATCCCTGTAGGCTATCGGATATTTTTGAAATAGGTTTGTCTGTCTCGTAGCTTTTTGGGACATTAAGTTCGTTTTTTATTTTTTGTCAAGTATGTGATTGTTTTTGGATGTGATCGATACATTGTTAGAGAGATTAATGACTCAAAGAAATAATACTTTTACTCCAATGCTTATTTTTTGAAAGGTTCAAGTTGTCAAAATTTGAGGTGATGTTCAAGATGGCGGCTAGACCCAATCTTGGAACTTTTTTTTTGATGAAATAATGAATCTAGTAATGACTCATTTTGAAGCCCCTTGTGAATACTTTATAATCATATAATAAGACTCACTATCTTTCAAAATGGCGAACTAGTTGAGCGTTTTTGTACATCAAAATGTTATAGTATATGTTACGTTAATCCTTTTCTTCTGGAAGGTGATAGTTTTTGACATATTCAAATGGACCCCCCTGAGAGAACAAGATCTTATGGTGATTTGTTATTGGTAAGCGATTCAATGTACAAAAACGCTCAACTTTGACATTCTGTCACCTCCCCATTTTGAACATTCTAGGGTTATTAAATTCGCATTAGGAGCTTCAAAATGAAGTATCACATGACTGCTTATTCCATTAAAAGAATGTTTCGTTATGGCGCCCAGCCGCCATCTTGAATTTTCCAAATGCATCAATTTGATCACTTTAAAATAAGAAATAAGCAGGAGTCGGCTTTTTGAAAAGCACTGTGTAGTATCTATATATTATAGATCGGATCGAAACAGCGTAAAAACCGGAGCTGCAAAAAAAGTGTGTAATCATTTCGGTTTCGATAGATGGTCGAGTTCTACCGAAAAGCCCTTCATTTCGTCTGGTCACCGAGAAACTAGATGTGGCATGAACACATATTGTCAATCGCAGTAGCTGCTGGGAAAAAGCTAGGCTATTTGCTTACGGCTCCTTACTCTGTACAAGGCCTAGTCTCGAGTACTGCTCACATATTTGGGGAGCTGCCGCCCCGACTACATTATCCTTGCTCGATGCTGTTCAGAGGTTGGCTATCTGACTGATCGATGTCTTCTTCAGCGGACAGTCTCGGCATCCTTTCATACCGACGGACCGCTATGTTGATGGGCTTTGCTCCCCAGAGCCCTCCTCCGTGACGCCGCCGCGCGATGAGCCTGTCTTCAGACTCCGATTATAACCTTGTGGAGCTTTGTACATCCAGAACTGGCCTGTACAACCGTTCCTTTGTCCATAGGGTGTCAAGATTGTGGAAGAATCTGCCTGAGGAGGCTTTTCCCAGTTCTGCTAAACTTATGGAGTTCAAAAAGCAGATAAAGTGTCTGTAAGCTACTTTTAGCATCCGCGGAGCGCCAGGATTTAGGCTCCTACCTAAGGCGATGCTTCGATATAAAAAAATACTACTGTCGATACAGTTGCTCCACTATTCAGTAGTTCTTATGCTCTGCTGTATCGCTTTTTTATAAATGATTTCGCACTTTGACGGCTCCGCTTTTTCAATTATCCAAATAAGGTACTATGTATGTATGTATTCATTTTTTTGCACCACTTTCGGTAAAGCATCATTCTAAAATAGCACGTTTTATTTTTTTAAAATGAAATTTAGGCATCTATTTTGGTAGAACCATATTCTGTATTTTCATAGGCTTCTTATAATTTAGATTTCTGTCCTGAACATCTTATGAAGAGCATTTTCTTGATTAACAATACAGACAGCGCTATATCCACCTCACCAAAAATTCGCAAACGTCCAGTATAGAGTGCAACTACACAACGCAAATTACAAGTAGGAAAACCGGACGGAAAGTTTTACAAAAAAAAAATGTTTTTCACTATGATTATCTTCGAATGACGAATTTTTTCAAATACTTATACACGACGTACTACAAACGCTAAATGATAATAGAATATTTTTTATACTAGAATCCGCTACAATGCATTAATTCGCGAGTTTTTCAGTCCGGCACAAATTTGACGACTCGGCGCGCACAGCTGGAAAACAAATGAAAACTTCGCGTCGCGTCTCGCCGACTACGATTTTCCCGCGGTTGTTGACCTGCCCGGCGCGTGTTTGAAGACTGATTCCGCGGCAAAGGTGGCTGTGATATGGCGAATCGCGAGATAGCCGACGCGTACTTTCGCTAATGAAACGGAGCGAGCTTATCTCGCAGCGCTTATATTGGTCGAACAGGGCGGGATGCGTCGCGCAGGCGTTGGAGGGAGGGAGGAGGGAATTTCGAAAATGTTAAGGGTGTCCTGTCAACGGTAAATGCGTCCGTCAGAATCTCCCCACATCCAATTAAAATGTGGTCTAGTCGCAGTAAATACATGTAGTACCCTCGTATCTCACCAAACCCACGAGTTCAAAGCGCGCACGCGGCGAAGGAAAGCGGCTCACCGTGCCCCTCTACATAACTAATGGCGTGCATACCAGAACCACATAAAACAAATATAAAAAATTAGCTATTGTAATAGTCACTGAAGTTTGACAAGATTTTTCTGATACAATCAAAATTAATGTCAGAACTGTCTGCTACGGAATTATAATTATTGCATATAGAATGTAGCGGAGAATAAAGTAATACGTTGGTACGGGAGGTACTGATACTGCAGTAGAACCTCTGGAGAACTTCTGGTACATCCACTCTATCGTGCAAAAGCTTATGGAGGAATGCCAGGCCGGCAGTGGAGCGTCTTAATTGTAAAGACAGTTTGAAACATCGCAGCAGAATAAATTAACTGGAGCAGTTTCTGGATATGCATCGTCAATTTTAAAAGTATAATATTTAAGAAATTTTCTTTGTACATTTTATAAGATATTTTTATAATATGCATCAAAGAAGCGTACTCAAGTTTTATGTCGGACCAGCAAAGCAAAAAGTTTTTAGTCCTACTTCATTGAAAGAGATGCTTGCTACATGTACTGAAAAGTTCAACCTGCAGGAAAATGGTTCACCAAGCTCTTTAGTCTCCGTTGTTCTCTCCAAAACTGCATTATTTATGGAATGCTCAAAGATAGTCGAGTTCATTTTGCGACTATATGAATAAGCTTTACACTTGGAAATATTTAAGAAGAGAATGGTATTGTCACACCACTGTGTGATAGTATCTAATTCCTCCTGAAGGGAAATACAGTCATCTAAGGGCCGTATCGTCTATCGTTCCGACAATTGTACGAGGGATGTCTTTTAGGTTTTGCATATAGAAACATAGTAGGCCGCGCGGATCGAACGTCAGTACTGAATCTTAACCTCACTCTTTAGTAAACTTAAATTCAAAGTTTCACAACAATACGTGCAGCGTTCTCACTACAATGAATTTTTAAGTGTCACCAAGTCATTATAAAAATGCAACACAACCGAGAACATTTTCGCGCTATAATTTATTACAACCTTCAGAGACAATTATCGCAACAAGAGTGCCTTGATGAGTTACTGTCTGTTTTCGCGTTTTTTATTTTTTTTTTTCGTTTTTTGCCCATCGCTTTGCCGCCACTGGACCGATTTTTCAGTTACTACAAAGCTTTTTCGCCCTTGGAATAGTAGTAGCCTTGCGTGAAAATTCGATCAAAATTCGAGCAATTTTACAGTTCGTCCAACGTCATTATGTTCAGCATAAATGCTCCTCTAACAAAGACTTACAAAGGAATTTAATGGATCAAGTCAACCGAACAGGCCCCTACGATTAGTCTCCATGCCCCTGGCACCGCCCCCTCACTCCTGAAAATATGACTGCCTCCTAAAATATGCATATTTACCTTAGTTTTGTGTGCAGCATTTAAGAAGGATGATATACAGCGTGTAAAGTTAGTAGTGGATCAACGGAAGGCAGGTGATAGAGGGTCTCAAAACCTATCGAATGAACCCCTATATGTGTGGTCCGAAATTTTATAGTTCAGGAAATATTTGCTATTTTGTGAAATTTCGAAAAAAACGGGATAATGAACTTTCAATCGCAATTACAAATAAACCATTAGGTTTAGGGCTGTGTTTTTTTTCTGAGATGAGCTAAATGGTTAGTTTTAGCAGTGGTTATGCAATTTTTAAGAGAGCTTACTAGAAATTAACGCAAAAAATCTTGAATTAATTTTTATGTGAAAAATCTTTTCCATCCGTCAACTTTGGACGGCGGTAAAAAAATTGAGGTCGTATTTCATTATTCATTTTATTGTAAAAACTATTTCAATCCATGTAGAATAAACCCTGAACATTCCAGCTTGCTACGATGAGTGTGCCCTGTCACATTTGTTGTTGTGATGCGATAAACATAAGAAACGCAGTAGAATCCTAATCACCTACAAGTACAGAACCTAGTGTGTTTAGTCGCTCTTTATGGCGATTTACCGACAAATGTGGAAGATAATTTAATTTAACTAACTTTTAAATAACATGGCCTCCATTATTTTCTATACACAAGCGACACCTTCTAATAAAATTGTCTTGTAGTATTTGAAATGAATTTGCGTTTTCCATAATTTTTATTTTTGCTTATCAATTTTCTGGCACAGTTGGTTGACATTTGTATATTCAGATGTATAGATTATCCCGTTATAAAACCCCCATATAAAAAAATCTAGAGGATTTAAATCGGGTGACCTTGGAGGCGATCGTATGTGTCCACCTCTACCTATCCAACGCCCAGGAAAGGCACTGTCTAAGTAATGCCGTACATCCCGTGCAAAGTGACATGGGTCACCATCGGATTGAAAATACATGCGGCTTCTAACGTCTAAAGGTACATCCTCTAGCAGCTCATACAGACTGCTTTGTAGAAAAGCAAGATATGACTGACCATTCAACCTGACGAGTAATTCATAACTTTATACCCTGTATAATCATAACATATAAAAGGTATCCTCTTGCCAATATTTAATCGACACCATCTGTCTCTTGCATTTGTCATTTTAAGCTTGTCAGTTTGACACCAGGTAACTAGATATTTTGATGTATTTGTAAAATGAGTTGGGAACGTCAAGGTCGTGATGTAAATCAAAAATTTTGTGATATATAGTGTTAGTAGTGATATGTTTGAGAAAATTATCGGTACTTACCCAATAATGACCCACTTCTCAAACTAGATGTACAATGTATTATTTTTACCCAAAAGTTATACATACTCAGTAAGCTCCATATTCTGCTGTATTCCTCCCAGACACTACGACACTATCAAAGCGCGGTCATAACCTTTGCTGTTCAACGCTTTGATATGCGAGACGATTCTCTGCGAGGCAGTCATTTTTAATTTCAAATCTGTCCCTGATTTGACCATCAGTCGGAATACATCCATCTAATCTAACGAATATTGGTCCGGCATCGCATAGTTAGACTTTACGAGTAGTGTATTATTATCACTAATTTATCAGGCACATTATAGGGTAGGAAACAAGAAGCTTTCCAGCCGTAAGATACCAGTCGATTTATCCGACAAACAGGCGTAAATTCGAAAAACAAAATGTCGAAAATGAATGAAATTCATGATCTATTTGAAAGTTGATATCTTACATATTGTGTTAGTTGGGACATAATGTAAAAAACCGACTTAATGTCGCTTTTCAAATGACGTAATACCCCTGCGTGAGTACCCGTGAGAAAAGGGAGGGTCGTGGACCCTTTCGGTGCGTCGACGGGGGAAGACAGCTGAGTAGACACTGGATGTCGAGTGAGCAGGCGGTACGTATGGTTCGACCCACCGGAGCTTCCTTATTAATTAAATTCCTAATAATTTTAATAACTCGCGAATTTAACGCTTTATAACTTAAGGTCTTTAGTAGAACAAACATAATTTGCCATCAAGTAGTTTGAAAACGCGTAACCTCAAGTCAAGTAGAGCACTTAGAAAAGTAGTGGAAGTAATTTTATTTTCAAGTCACGTCAAGTAGTTTAGAAAAATATCAAGCTACTTGACTAGATGAATAATCCCTTCTCAATATACTTTTATTGCCAACCACTGCATTATAAAACGGAAAATTACGCGCTTGTGTAACGCAATTGTGTCAACAAAATTCGACGAAACGTTTCTGACAATTAAATTATCATACCGCCCCTCACCACTTCTCTAACCCCTAGGAAAGGTGCAAGTGAAGGGTGAATTGGCGTCATCACATGCACCGGTGGGCATTCAATTTACCTGCCACATTCATATTGCTATTTATCGTTTACGCACGTTGTTCAGATTCAGGCTGTGTAAAGTAGCCGGTACACGCTTATAACAGGACGATCTCGGCAGGATTTCATTTCAACTTCAGCGACAGTTTCAAGAGCTTTTTTATTGAAATTCAATCAACATACGATGATAATGAGAAGTACATTTGCAGCAAAAAAATGGCGTCGAATATTTCGACTCCACTTCCTGCGCAACACTGTCTGGCAACGCTGCTGAACCACACCAGTGAAACATTTCTTGAGCGCCAGCGATGAGATCGAGATCAAACCCCAACGATATTTTGTGACGGCGGTCCAGTGTTGCCGAACCTACCGATTTTTCGATAGTTTTACTGAAATAAGACCTTATTTACCGAAATACCGAACACGTCCTCATTTTCCACAATTTCTCAAAATATTTCAGATATTTCCAGATTTTTACCGAAAACGAACTGAAACAAAAAATATATGAATTCTGAGTAATCTATGTTGCTTTATGCCCCATACCAGTCATATACAGGGTGGATATGTAACTGACTGGTTTGTATCTTGAATATTTGTGGAATGAAATAAAATACGCCCGTTTTTTCAGCCTAATCTTTTATTGAAACTTCTGAATTAAGTATGAAAGTTAATATCACATTTAATGTTCGCCTCTAGAAGCCAAACTGCAGCCCTCTTGATTACATTTACTATCACTTTTTGGTAGGTTTGGAGAGGAATATTTTCAATCGCTTCCGTTATGTTCTTCAGCTGCTCTACAGTAGTTGGTAAGTTGGCATAAACCTTATTTGCCAAAAATCTTCATAAAAAAATCAAGAGCCGTGTGCATAATGACGTGCGACGAATACCCAGTTCATGAGAACGATGTCTGGTAGACGTCTCAGGGCGCTCCACTACACTTTCACGAACACGGCCCGATCTTGGCAAGTATTTAACCTCACCTGTTTATTCAAACTTCCGCACCAACTGACGAATGGTGTTGACACATCG